TTCAAGATAATTCATTGTCTGATTAAAACAAATACAAAAAATCATCCTCCACTGGCGAGTAGCATACATATAAAAGCAACATAAACATAAACAATATATACATTCGATTGTTCCAAAAAACAGATACAACAATACTAATAACAATAATAATAGCAATAACAAAACTGACATGTAAATTAAAAAAAAAACTTGCATTAAAAATTGAATCTCGACAATGCACAAAATGCATTAAACAAATGAAATAAATGTTTTCTGAACTTCACCCCTTCTCTCGCGGTATGAGCATGAGGAAAAAACAGAAACAAGAACAAATGAAAGAGAGAGAGAGAGAAGTCGTTTGAAGTAGAAAAAAGGAAATGTGAGGGAGAGAGAGAAGGTGACAGAAAACGAAGAGCTCTGGGAGTAAAGATATGAGGTAGAATACAGACTAGCAAGAACTATACACAATATATATAGCAGACCGACTACGGATTATAGCACTATACGATGAAGAATGATCGTAATGCATATGTGTAATGTTCAGGTCTTCTAATAAACTATACACAACTTTGACACTTTTATATTTTGTAATGGGGATCGCCATCTAGTAATACCCTCCACCCGAAATTTCGTCCTTTCAGGACATTTTTAATACGAATAAGTGTACAATATGCTCATTTATTTATTCATTTATTTATTTTTAATGTTTTGACAGGGTAGCCCATTCACCAATAAGTAGTGGTCTTCCATGGGACCCTGAATAAACATGAACATATTTACACCTTTTATAACGTTTATACAGAACAGTTAACAAATAGTGCTCGTTAACAAAATAAACATATATCTTTAACCTAGTTCAACAGTAATGACAATATGAAAATAGTAATTAAGTCGAAATTATGTGAATAAGTCATTTTAATATTACAGAACATGCACGTAGTGTTAGTGTTAATGTTCTTGTTAGTGTTAGTTATATGTAGTTTAGTAGGTCAACTGTGTTTACTGAATATTTTTGTTGTGTACTTATCCGCAATGCCACTTATTTGACAATTTTTGTAACAGGAAGAACTAGATAACACATATACCAAATATCAACACTTCAGAACACTAGAGGATATGCAACTACATGTTGTTATGTGTTGCAAAAATTGTATAATCTTCTTTCTATCAATTATTTCAACGAGTCCTGTGCAGGTGGTCTATTTTTGTTATGCAACAAGGCAGAACATCTTCGTCAGAGAGTAACAACCTTCATTATGTTTCTATTACAGTCGTGCCTATTGTGATGATATTTCTGATTGTGATATTATTGACTTGCTTTCTTCTTGCTTTCGTGTTTTGGAAAAAACATCGGCAGACCAAGGGTAAATACACTCACTTTTATAACTATTCTCGTTTTGAATCGTGTATCTATGTTCTATTTGGACACATCACAGGATAAAATAGTCTGTAAGAGAGTGACCGAATGGCGGTTGGGTCGAGGTAGTGTCACGATATCATGGACATGAACTAACCAGAGAAATAGTAAACTTGTTTGGGCTAACCATTTTGTCACGTTCCTCCGATTCACCATACTTCTATTCCTAATTTTCCTCGAAAATTTGTATTTTCTAAAAACCCTTCTATAGCACCCCTTCATATCATATCCATAGCACCTCGGTAGCTACTCCAAGTGTACAAGACAATTGTACGATTCCTCAACCTATAAATAGAGTAGGGTACTCAGGCTAGCCCTTTGAAAAGTTAAACCAGGTGTAGGGCTGACAAATATATCCGACAAGTTTGCTATAACAGGAATAAATAAATACAAAACGAGCAAATATATTTTGACAATGATGAATAAGGAGATTTTCTTTACCCTTCGGAAAATTGTACTCACCTTGTCAGTTATCCTTAAACATTCACTAATCTAAATGAAAACAACATTTGGTAAGACAATGGTTTTCGGGGGGGGGGGGGGGGGGTAGGACCTCAAAATATTCATGTTTCGGGACCTCAAATTGGATGTCTATCTATACAAGCTACTTCATAAATGTATTATTTCAAATATTTAGTTTCATTTGCGCCAATCGTGTATTAATACCAGTTGTGTTTATTTATTATTGCATTACATGATTTGTCAACCCTCCAGACACAGACCCTGAGTCGATTCCTATACTGGAAAAAGAGCCAGAAAAAGGTACTGTACAAATTTACACCTATTTCATATAATGTAGAAAGCTTATAATTTACATTTTGTTATAGTTACAACTTTCAATGTTTGTACAATTACGATGGAACTTTCTTTGGTAGCATTATATGTATTCGAGTTTTGCAATGGGGTAGTACGGAAATTGTTGTGGAAGGGATATTGATTTAATGGTTGCATTGTTTCAATGAGAGAAAGAGGGAGATAACACTTGTCAAGTTCAATTTATTTCGTTGCATGTTTTTGCTCTATTGCCAAACTCACAGGGAACGTGTCCTTTTACGAAATTTGGGTACTACTTTACAACACCAATGGTATTGATATGGTTGGAATACGCCGTGCGCTAACTGAACTAGGAGTAGAAGATGTCAAGGAGAATTCAACCAAATGGCAGACTTACAGCGCTCTCTGTAAATGGAAAGACCGGACTACCTTAGGCGATCAGGCAAAGCTCATCAGAGATGCTTTCTATAAAGCCAGATATGAAGAGGCCTGGAAAATAATAGGTTAGTATTCTTAAAATTGTATGTTTCACGAACAGGTACAACACAATATTTTTCTGGCAGTCATAGTCCTCTTCATTTATCGTTAAGGAGTTTTAGAACGGAACGAGAACGGTATGAACGTCCACTGATCATGCTTGTCTATGGCAAGCCGTTATAGCATTTAATCCTAATTCGTGATATCAACAATTCAATTCCTGATATCAAGCATTACAATTGCTTTACAACAAAAAATAATTTTTTGATATCAAGAATCCAAATCCAGAAATATGAATAAATGTTAAAACGGCTTGCCAATTAACCCTTTGAGAGCGAGCCCGCGCACGGCGATTGTTTCCCCTATGTTAAGGACTCACACGATCAGTGGACGTTCACGCCGTTCTCGTCCACTCAATCTATAGTACCGTGTAAAGGAAAGTTAAACAAAATAAACTTTGTGATTTCGTATTTCATTCTAGTAATCAATGGTTATTATATATCTTAAGTTCATTACATTCCATGTTATCTTTTTGCTTTATGTGATATATTACTTTGGCCAAGTTTATCCGGAGTGAACTGAACCTAGAGGAATTTGAAATTGTATCGTTTAACAATCGAAGCACTACTAATTCGTGTTTCGTGCATGAATTCGGAATTATTTCCTTTCAGAACGAAGGTCAAAGGTGATTGAAAAAGCATCTGAAGGCACCCTGAAAAGGATATTAAGGAGCATTGATGATCAAGAACTAAGGAATAAGTTCATGAACAAGCTGATCCCCGGACGAGAAACACACAATCCAGAGACGCCAGGAAGTGTGAAAAGCATCCGCAAACAGGACATGGTGAACGAACTGAAGGAATGGAGCTCCACAACAGACAGTGAGAACCAGATGGTCTTATTAAGCCTTGCTTTGGAAGACGCAGGATGTTGTCCAATCGATAGGACATTCTTTACACGTAAGAACTTATCGAGTGTAAACGTATGATATTATGATGCTAAAATACTTGACATGAAAAGCGTTGTAACAAAACAATTTATTGAATGCCATAAAAAATGTGACGTCTCTTAAGATGACAACCAACACTTCGTTTCTTATTCATGTATAATTATACGAAATGTACTTTGTTAAGAAATAAAGCAATGTTTTTTATGGAAATATTGAGGAATGGAACATATATATTTTGTCGTTAAAATAATATTTGTTATAAATTGGATAGTTGACAAAGAAATCTTTATCATCTTCGTCGTGCAGGTACTTTGTCATTCTACGAGATCTGGTGCATGCTGCACAACACGGAGAGTACATGTTTGGATATAGCGGGGATTCGTCGTACGTTCCAGGAACTAGGCATCGATGTCGAAGGAGACCTCAGCAAACAGCGGGCATACACATTGTTCTGCAGCTGGAAGGACAATACTACCAGGGAACATCAAACTATGATACTTAGGGATTCATTAGAGAAAGCAAAGTTTGAGAGAGTTTGGGATATGAGTGGTAAATATCCTATGGCAGTATTCATGAAATATTAATGATTTTCTTTGAACTGGGCTATTAATCAAAGCAGCCGAAATGGGCGTGTATGCATTATTGTTTCAAGAGGTGATTTTCACCAAACATTAACCGAGCATGACATGTAGTAAACATTATCTTTAAAACCGAATTAATGAATCAAAAGATTGTTTACATGTGTTTCTTTTACTAAGGAGGACAAGATTTTAGCTATCCGCATGCAGTAAGGGATGATGTCGACGGTGAAAGAAAAGGGTATATTGTACGCAACATGGTCTATAATAGACAGGAACAGTGATTTTAGAATTCGTAAGAACTGCTTCTGTTTAAGAGAGCGAAGATAAGAGCCCCGTGGTATTTCCACAATGATCAAAATAAGGGGCACCTCACATTTTTATAATGGGGGATAAGTTTTGTCCAATGCGTACATAAGGCAGAAACTAAACGATTATAAAATGTAATTATCCTTTCAGAATAGGCAATATTTTCACTTGGAAGCATAGTCTGTCTGTTTCAATAAACAAAGAAATTGTTTTTCTTCAACTCATACTGTTTTCACAATCACCATTTGTGTTTAGAGTTACGTATTTAGTTATGAGGCGCACTGTATATGGAGCGCTAGGAGTCTCGAATCTGACATACGTGAGCGCTATACAAGAACTTGATATTATTATCCTTATCATAATGATCGATTATTATAGCATTCTTTCCCTTTTTACCAGAACAAAGAGCAAACACGTCTTCAAAGGTATCTGAGTACCTATGTGAAATGATCATGCGGAGCATTGATGATCATCAACTCAAGAATAGGTTCCTCAACAGGCTGATCCCTGGACGAGAAACACACAATCCAGAGACGCCAGGAAGTGTGAAAAGCATCCGCAAACAGGACATGGTGAACGAACTGAAGGAATGGAGCTCCACAACAGACAATGAGAACCAGGTGGTCTTATTAAGCATTGCGTTGGAGGAAGCAGAATGCCGTCCAGTCGATAGAACTTTCTTTACAGGTAGAATCATTACCCAATATAGCCTTAAACCCTATATATATATATTTCATGTGATTAATTTCTTTGGATAACGTTCATAGGGACTCTAATACATACTGTGCCCTTGTATATGTGTCTGAATCCCTTTGCTCGTAGTGCCTGTTATAATTATTTTATTTTTTATTTTACTTTTAATTACCCCATTACCCATGGAAAAAAAAACATTCGCTGACAGGGGTTTAACTAGAGAAGCGGGGAAAGTTAAAATAATAAATAATCTATTTTAGACATTCTTTCAAAGCTTGTGTATTTCTTTCGGTCATGGATATTGTTGGTAGAGCCATTTCCTATCTTAATGTAATTAAATAAAATATAACATATATTTTACTGTGTTGCAGGGATGAGAGTATCCTTTTTTGAGCTCTGGTCAGTGGCTTACGACGGTTCACAGGACAACATAATAAAGCTGCAAAGGTTACTTAACACCATGGGTATCAACGATGTGAACCCTACCGAATATGGGATTTATAAAGGCCTTTGTGAATGGAGGAACAAGGAACATGACGACCAGATGAACCTTCTGAGAGATGAATTATGCGCAGCCAATTTGACAGACGTATGGGAGCACATTTATGGTAAGGATGTCCTCTGTATAAATATATACTTTATCGTAACTGAGCGATTCAACAGAATAACATTCGAAAAAAAAGATTAAAGGGATCGTTTAACAATGTTAAATCTGAGATACACGGTCCTACATGTTACAAGTGTTTGTGATATGGTGTAATATTGAAGCCCTACAGAAATCGCGCTTCAAAATGATCAAGAAGTGCCTCAAAAAAGTAAAACAAAATTGAGTGACCGGTTTTACCATACTCATTTCCCCAACAGACTGTAGTGTTATGAAAACCGTTCGGCGAACGGTTTTCAAGATTTGTAATTCCAATCATTAATATCTTGATAATCAGACAGGCGATCGGTTTGTAAAAGTCATGGACTTCCTGACTGACCTAAAGGTTTATAATTATCATTGCAGCATGAGCTAAATCAAAGATTATTTCTTAATGATCTAAGACAAAGTTACCGGATCCCTCTAAAAGGGATTGGGTACCTTTGTCTCAGATTCTAAACAAAACCATTTATTAAGCTCATGCTGCAATCACAAGTATAAACATTTAAGTCAGTCAGGAATCCCATGACGTTTACGAGCCGAACGCCCTTTTGATTATAAAGATATTTATGACAGGAATTCGAAATGTCAAAAGCCGTTTTCCCAACGGTGTTTATAACATTACGATATAATGGGAAAATGAGTATGGTAAAAACGGTCACTCAAAGATGTTTACTTATTTGAGGCAACTCTGGAATAACTTACCATTTGAAGTCAGGAAATCCCCATCTCTAAATACCTTCAAATCAAAATTGAAAACACATCTTTTCAATTAACTGTGCAATTAAGCATATCAGGCGCTCGTGTAGCACAGTAGAATACATACTTAAAGTTGGATAATTTCTGCCCTCTCTAAATTAATAATTATTTTTATTATTATTACTATTATAATTATTATTATTATGTCACCATATCACACACGCTGATAACACGTATGCCCATGCATCTCAGATTTGGCATTGTGAAAAAAATTAATTGTTTGTGGGGAAAATTATAGATAACAGTAAACATAAAAATCCGAAACAGACATACTTCCCCCCCCCAAAAAAAAAAAAAAAAAAACTTAGATTTTCACAACGTAATTGTTTTGCTGAGCATTGTACATGTAAATATCAATACCCCTCGTATCTATATTTAAATATTAAATACAAAATATAAAAAAAATCATTCTTGTAAGTTTCATTTTTAACGGTGTGCAAAGGAAATAAATGCGCATATATGCCACGCTATCATCGATATTCCAATCTATTATAATGTATTTGTCATGTACAAATTCTTGGGTCATATTTAACACAATTTTCCTCAGACGACTGATTTAAATAGAAAGACAAATGTCCTTCTTATCCCCTTCCAATCCCGTTTCTGCTTGTAATACTATATCACATTGTTATACATGTGATAGTGATCTTGTGATAACTATTTAAATAAGAAATTGTGAATAGGACTATCACTGAATTACAAGTGTGTTTTTCTTCAAGGCCTTCGCGAGAAGAGGGATGCCAATGTGCCTGATGACACACTGAGTCACATCCTGTGGCATATTCAAAATCCCAGGAAGGTAGAAGACCTCCTTAGCGAATTGATTCCTGGCCGAAAGAATCATGCCGCAAACAAGACACTGCAATTCAGTCAAGTAGTGACCAAAGAATCAATCAGAGAAGCAACACAGGTACTGAGGAAATGGAGCGCTGGTCCATTTCAGCAAAATCCTTTCGTCCTGCTTAGCCTAGCTCTTGAGACAGCAGGATGCATCCCTTGGATAGAGAATGCTTTACAGGTAAACACGTATATTTGACTGTAGAAACTATGTGTAATGTTTGCCTTAACACCTGAAGTATTTTTTTAAATCCATTAATACATAGAGAAGATTGGGTCTCGTTTGATCCTGTTCAGGAATTCCGCAAGCGTCCGTTGTAACAAAGGTAGAGACTATCCCTGATTCTCCTCATAATCTAAACGGGTCTAATTTTCGCACCACGAACTCCGAGACGAACTTTGAAGGCAAACAAAGTTCAGAATTATAAAAGATTAAGGTGTTCACTATAAAGTGAGAGTTATCATATATCGCTTTCATTTTTATTATTCTCTCAACCAGTTCCTGATCATCTCAAGAAGCCTATATCTACACAGGAAGTGGAGGCGTGTGTCCATAGTCTGACTGGTAGACATTGCAGACGATTGGCAAAGGCTGCAGGAGTCTCCGATGATCAGAAGATTTCCGCAACCATAAATGAAAACACGGAATCGTTGTTTGACACCCAGTCAATGATTCGTGACTGGATCGATCGCCAACAATGCAGCCACTATGACAAGAGATGTAGACTCACTCAAGCAGTTATCGAGATTGGTCGTCATGATTTGATTAGTGAGAAGCGTTTTACCTTGACACGATTTAAAAAAAATATTTGTTATAGAAGTCCATTAGAATAAATTGGAGACATACAAGTTTTGGAAAGATTAATACGGTATTAATACTAGCGATCATTTGTAGATAAAGCGTAGATGGTCAATTATCTTTACAGTATGTGTCTCGAAATGAGTCATTCGTTTATCCATGTAATCATCATAATGAATGTGATTTCATACCTCTTTGGAAACAGAGATGAATATTAATTATTTGCATTTTAATTCCATTATTTTGCCTCATCGTACAGATTGTTTTGGAGTAAACGACCATAACCGTTCAATCGGAAAAGACCCTGGAGGATTACACCCTTATCCCCATCAGTTCAGTAAGTTGTAGGGTAGTATTTATCTGTACTCATACCTCGGAAATTGATGGATGAAGGTCCCTTAAAGTGTTTCATCCTGGTCAAAGAATGAGGCTATCTCGGTATCTTTCCGAATTTTGAAAAAATAGGCCAAACTGACAAAAATTGAAATGTATGGGGAGAGAGCTAAGTTCCGGCACATTTTGCTCAAGGCTTCATTTTGTCAAGTACACCGTGAGCTTTATAGTTGAAGTAGATTTTAGGGTAGGTTTGGATTTGGTATTCAGTTATGTAAAGTGTTAGGGCTAGGGTTAACGTTAAGTGGTTAGTGTAGGAAATTACCATGGAGCACTCTGTGTCTCAATAGCACGTGTCGTACAAGCTTGTGAGTATGGGATCCCGGAGAGCTGGTTGAACTTTTGAAGTCGGGGGGGGGGGGGGGGCGGTCGTGGCAAGAAGAACGATTGACCTCTTCCATAGCACACGATACATTCGTCTAATCTGTGTTTTTCTTCAGGTCATGAGAGTGCCTACATTGATGACATAAGAGAAATTGTGTCATTCCTTCCGAAAGAGAGAAGGGCATATTTCTGCAAACCAATGCTGATCTCCTTAAACGTAGACGGAAAAGACGAAAAACATCTTGAACCACAAGATTGGGAAAACATGATCTCGGCAACAAACACTTCATACGAGCCACTGGAAAAGCTTGCTACACGCTTCCAACTAACCTTAACAAAGGCTAATTGTCGCGGTAAGATAAACATGTGTTCTCTTACATGATTTATTTTGGAATTGACGAACAACTTTTAAAACAAATGTTCCTATTGTACACCCCAAACGATAAACTATTCTTTACTCATTCAATGTAATGATTATGCAGATTTGAGTGTGTGGGTGTGATTGTGTGTTTTGATGGTACTGAATATGAACATCCTTTGAATACAGTTCATAGAGGGAAAAGGAACCCCATACATCAAGGGTCAATTTGTCTTGGTGATTGTTGCACTTTATCATTTTGTTTTCCTTCTTATTATTTCCATTGTTAAACAGTTACCATGTCGCCGCTTTGGTTGGAAAGATTGTATGCATGATTTAATGATCTATGGTAGATGTAGAAGGTCTGAATAGACAAAGGTAAAAGATTGCTAATAAAGTTAAGATTTTCACTAAAAAAGTGGATCTAAACAAATTACGATATATTGTTTCTTTGAAATGAACAATTTTTGAAAAAATTCTCTGTAGGGTTTGAGGTAACGGATGAAGATTTGGAAATAGCAGCCGAATTCATCAATGCAGCAAACACGAAATTGCAGCCAAGTCACCATCAACATGCAACACGGATTGAAGCAAACACCGATAAAGGCAAGAATAAATACCCCCACATACACACACACACACACACACACACACTACCACCACAGAAGAGACATTGAGCAGTATGGTTAATAAGTAGGCTGTATGTATCTTGTTGGTTTCTTGGTTTTGTTTAGCCGATAATTGTATCAAATAATTTCAGTATGTATGTACATATATACTTTGAGATATCTGGCCAAGTCAGTAGTTCGTTGACTTGACTCTTAATCCAAGGGCTAAAGGTCCAAAGCCCAGCCCGGCGCTAAAGTCCTTTGCCACATTAATCCACATTTGACAGTGTTTGTTGATGACATAAATTAAATTGGACATGAATTATAGTTTAGTCACAATAGTGCATTTTAAGGGGTAACCCAAAACATATTGCATTGCAAACCTTTACACTGCAGTGATCTTTAAAATTATCCTGCAAAAAAAACAACCGTGCACATTCGATGTTGTGTTATTGGTTCGAATTTACAAAAGAAGATTAACTTAACCCACATTAAACCCATATTTACATAACCCATGGTTTAAAAATTACAAGAAATAAGCGTACCTTACCTTGCACCCATCTAATATTGGATCGCGTATCGCTTATTTTGCGTTAATTTTTAGACTATCGGTTATGTAAATGACGATTTAAACCAACGGTTAAGTTTAAACCTCCTTTGTAAATTAGGGTCATTAAGTGTTAATTGCTTTTCCGATTAGACTACTACACAACACTTGAGTAAGCCTCGAAGATATCGTCGCTGTTTTCACGAAGTGACGGTAGTAAAAAAAAAAATTACATTCACTTTGCATGACGATTTTCCTCACTACCGTCACTTTGTGAAAACAAGGACGATATACATGAAATTTCATACGGATATGATATTCATAATTTTCAAAATTAACTAGACTGAAGTTTTAAAGACCGCCCTTATTTATGAAGTGTTACACGGATTTGACGAAAACAACTTTAAATACGAACTTATTAAAAGTATCATATAGGGTAATCATATCTCTACAGCGTACAGCGGAACTCCTCACAAAACATCTACCGGAAGTGGAAACGACAATGGGGATAAGAAGGCAAGCCAAAAGCTCGAAGCTCCCGAGGATAAACAAGGTAATCATTCATTTACTTCTATCATGGACAAATTACGAATAGCCCCAAAACACTGAAACATCCCACAATACATCATAATTTCCTCATTGGGCAACTTTATTAGTAGTGTAAAAATAGACCACTTTTTGTTCAACTTAAAGTAATTACTTCTGTTTTTTTTAAATGATAATAACGATGATAAAAATGTGGTGAATGTTGAACGCGCCAAAGAAAAAGCATTCAGAATTGTTAAAAATATTTCGACAAGTTTTTGAAGGAGCTCATATTTAGCAGATCGACATCAAAACATGAAATATACATGTTAGTGATCTGTTAATCATGTTGAATTTCAAAGCTGGGTTTGTGGGGCAGGGGGCGGGCGTTATATCTGCTGATAGTAGAACGAAATAAATCAGCTAAGATCAACAGACATGTATATGGTATTCAAGGTGATACGTCAGTGACATCCTTCATTCTATTAAAATTGTTATCAATGCCCTTTTTTCAAATCGTTTTCTTTTGGTATACGTTTATACTAATTTTGTACATATACATGTTATTCCAGTTCAATTTGTATGAAGTAATTAATCTATATATATTATTCTATAGGCATCACGTTTTGTAAACATACAAATCTGGATAACCAAACTTTCCTCTTTTTTTATTATTTTTTTTTTTAGTTACCACAGTGGATGGGACTTGTCATGCCGACAGTAATGAACATTCCAGTAAAACAGATGTTGAAGGCAATAACACGCATCTTGCTGCATCAAATGAAGTATCACATCCGAAAAAAGCATCAGGTAAATTTTGAATTGCCATAATTATTTTAGTTATTTAGTGTGATATAGTTTTTTTTATTCTAAATTGACATAAATTCTCTTTAGGAAAAGTACAATATGTGTAATTTTAGCCGTGAATATAAATCAAAATAGTGACACAAGGAAAACAAAACTCGTTCTTGTCACTTTATATGTTTATAACAAATAAGAGAGTTATGTGGCACTATATCACAGTGATAATACTGATTCAACCAATGTGTAAAGTACAAAGAATATTAATTACAAATGCTTTCATAACGTTCTTACTAATTTGTTTTCGATTTGGTGCTCTAATCAGCTTTTCTTACTTCTCCCTTTAAGTTGGCCCAATGAGGTACTAAGATTAAATTTCCTTTTACATTTTAAGCAATCGATGTTTATTGTTCACTTCAGGTTTTATAAAGTTGATTTCTTCATTTATTTCCGTTTTGGAAACACTTCAGTAAAACGATATACCTCAGTATATTGACTTTCAAATAATATTTTGATGTACAGAAATATCTATATTACAAATAGAGATCTACAACGTAATTAAAGAAAATATAATCGCCATCAAGAAGAACGGTGAGAACAAAACTATACAGAAATAGGAGTTAAAAAATACTATCCCCAACAAAATTGTCGTTTAACTATGATAAACATGTGTTATTTTTTCAGAAGAGATCCATGGTAATGATGAAAACGAAGAAAACTTAAAGCAAATAGTTGGTGATTCGCCATCAAATACACCACGTTCGGTCTCGTTCATGTTGAAAAGATGGAAAAGTTTTTATCGAAAGAAGGAAACATGCCACAGTGAACTGCGAAAGTCTCTGGAAACACTTGGATTAAAAGGTATTTTACCTTAAAACACTAGTATTCAGATAGTAAAACAAAACTTGAAAAAAAAGCATTTCATGCTTCTTATAATGCATATAATCTGTCTTTCTTTCCAAAACAAACCAATGCTGTCAAGGATCGAGCTAGATGCCAATACATAATCCTGAATACTCTCGTTCTCGGTGTGTCAGTCATTCATTATTGTCTCATTCTCCCATGATTGCAGGCCTCATTAAATACGTTCCTTATTTTTCATTGAATGGATCGAATTCGCTTTGATGATGCATTTCATGTCGATAATATATTGAAGTTTAAGGTACCATTGCAATGAAATATGAATTATTCTCTGCAATTTCGTCAAATATCAACTTAGTATGGCCTCAATTCCCAAACATTAACATTAATCCTTACCTCCATAATATCAATTAAAAAAAAAAAAAACTACATTTGTTAACCTTTCGTTTGCATTTTCTGTTTAACCGATGATTACGTATGCGTGTGTATGTGTGAGTGTGTTTGTGCGTAAATTGTCTTTGCGTGCGTCTGGATATATTTTTAAAATCTGTATTTATATAAATATATCAGGAAATTGAAAATGAAAGTTTAGACCTTCTGCAACAACTATTGAAAGAACCCTCAATACATATGTAGACATGGCTGGAAATATTGTTGTCTTGTATCTTGATAGAATGCATCGTCAATGTGGCGCCTGCAAAATACCTGTATAAAGTTGAGCTACTTCGAATTGCTTTCAACTTGCTGATGAGAGATGTTCTCCCATTCATCGACGCCCTCGGGATGAACCCAAAACAAATCACCAAGTATAAAGCTTCATCACCAGAGCTGGAAAGAGGTTCATTTGGCCTTCTGCAACAACTCTGGAAAAGAACCCCCAAATCTGACACTCACCGCCGCCGCGATTTCTGCCTTGCTTTGAGAAATATTGGATACGAGGGTTTAGCGCGATCAGTCTATTTAGGTTAGACAATATTTTTCAGTGGTTTATGAATACGAATAATAATAGATAAATGTACATTGTAGTAGTATGTGTAATTGCTTCGATTCAGATGTTAACAACACAATAATCGTTGCTTTTAAGAAATGTTTTTACAGCTTTGGAAGTTTTTTTGAGAATTCTGTTTAACCAATCATGTGATTTTCCAAAACATAATTAAATATCTAACAGTAAATCCAATAATATAGTAATATAGTATTATACTATTGTATCATGGCTAGAATTCCCTTGAAGGAAGAAATGGCACTCCATGCTCGAATGACGTAAAGAGGGGACCAATCCTCTGCAATCCATTATACCCTCATTAAAGTAATGTCTAGTGCTTTCTGCTGTACACTTTTTGTTATACATTTCAATTATTATTTTCGATACATCTGTTTTCATAGTGAGGGAATGGTAGCAACTGTAATATCTTTACCATAAACGGGTGCCATTGTATCGTGTGTATATTTAGATACATCAATATCTCTCTGTAGTACGATGTATTTATATATATATATATATATATATATATATATATGTGTGTGTATGTGTATGTGTGTGTGTTGGCGATATAAATCATTTCGTATAATACAATGATCACAATATTACAATACAATGAAAAGCAGATTCGGGTTTTTGGAAATGTTTGAATTTATAGGAAACTTCTGTTATCATCATTTGTATCTTTAATTGTTATCATTGTATTATTATATGTATGTCAATATTATTATGATTATGATAATCATTTGTATTAATAATATGATCATCGTTACAATTCTGTCCCTGAATTTCCACGCATATTCAGATTATGAGCCGAGCCAGAGTGAGTTGAACTCTACAGTTTCTGTCCTATGGAATGCCGAGAGGTTGCAAATCTGTACACGTCTTGAACTGGGTGAAGATGATCAAGCAGCATGCCTCGGGACCGAGGGGCAGGTTAATCTCGTCGAGGTTGTAAGGCGATGGACACATCAGATTCGGCCCGTACCATACCACTACCGACGTGAGATAGGAACTTGCCTTCGGGCTGCAGGGAGACAGGACGTTGCTGATCAGATTTTAGCAGGTATAGAACGCCTTGATATGCATTATCGTAGGCAGTAAAAAGCATGTCATTATTTTTTACAATCATTATTACCAGACCAAGTTTACTAATAATCTTTGCATCAATTTTCATTTGTTTTAATTTCTATTTGTCTAAATTTGCTTGCACAACACACATCGAAAAAAAATCGAACTTAGAGGGATTCTTTTGAAATTATTTTCATGGAAATGAGCACTTCATGTCCAGTCTAGATATTTCTTATTCATAACTTCGCTACTGCGGATAGCTAAGCTGCTAAGTACGAGGTTTTTTGTACAAATATATCGTCTACAACTCTTTTCACCAAATGTAAGTTGATGCCTAGAATGTGAACTGAAGCCATTTTCATGTGTTATCGTAGTTATAAATCATTTAATTTTTGTTTTTAAATTCTCAACTCAACTATTAAAAGGGAATCTACGATTTTAATCTCTCACGTGGCAGTTATGCAATTCCAAGTTTGACGTTTCAAACTTCTGTTCATATACCTAAAACATAAATAATCTTAGTAATTAAACGGTAGGAAGACAGTGGCATCTTTAATAATATTATATTAATATCCCATCATAGGGAGAAAAGGAAAGATGCAAGCTGACGAAAATGTCCTCAGAAACATCTGCAGAAGATTGGAAGCTGACAAGATCAACAATCTCTGCAAATTACTAGATCTGAAAAGAGGAAAGAGCCTGGAAGAAAATATCATTTCCGTGATCAAGGGGATCAACAAGTGGATCAACGACTTTGATCCATCTTCCTGGAAGTCGAAGCTAGCAGTAACACAGCTCAAACTAAAACACCGCAAAAAGATAAACAACAATATGTTTTATCTTGGGTGTCATGAACTCGCGGAAGAGATCATGCATTTAGAAAACGGGATACTGTCCGAATAACTCCCATTGTCTTTTTAGGAAGTAAAGACCATATTCAAGCTTGGTGTGTGTAGATACACCTTTCGTATTTGATAGCCAATTTTGCCTATGATAACATATTTGATTTAACTCCATGGATAATGCTTCAATTGCATCGACCAATTAAGTATTGTTGTCATTAAATCATATTACCAGATGTTGGTCCAAAAAATTCACTGCCTTATGAAATGTGGAAAAGATGACACAAATAACCTAAGCATCTTCAGTGTTACACGAGGGATATGCTTACTAAAGTGATGGAGGTTCTTGTTATTCAAACAAGATTATTAATACGTACAGAAAGCATTAAAGCATGGGGTCAATTATATTGAAGTTGATGGTGAACAGATTATTGATAAACGAAGAATTTTAATTGTATTAAACTCTTATTCGTGTAGGCCTACAATCGGGCAAAAACGATAGCACACTTCTGATAATTTGATCACCTGCGAAATTGGTTCAACGAAATATGACGAGCACTTGAAGGGTAACTTTTAGAATTCAATCTTTTTTTACGGCCTGTTACTGACACAGATATCATTGATGTGGTTTTAAATTGTAATGAAATCAAAGTCCTGGTATTTAAATTTGTCCATTACACAAGGTGATTTCCCTGATACTATTGAAATTGCAAATGTAATTTCCGTTTTTAAAAGTGGCAATAAATCATTTTTTAAATGATTTAGAACAAGGTATTTTTCCCGATGCTACGAAAATGTTGAAGGTAATTCCAGTTTTTAAGCGTGTTATCTCGTTTAGTAAAATATTTGATCATATTTTATGTGATCAATTGACTTTTAGAAAAGGTTATAGTACTTACCATGGTCTTCTTTATTTCATTAGTAAACTAGAGAACGCTTATGAACTTAATGAATTTTTAATTGGTGTATTTTTAGACTTATCAAAAGCTTTTGATTATGTTGATCATAATATTTTGTACTAAATAACATGTGGTACATGAACACCGCCAGAGTCGGGGTGGTGGTATATGCATTATATATCGCTCTTCTTTGAACATTTCTAGAGACTGCTCTAAACAATTCTCATTCTCATCAACCGGAGTGTTGGCTCAGTCAGTAGAGCGTCCGCCTCACAACCGGGAGGTCGTGGGTTCGAACCCCGGCCGCGTCATACCAAAAGACGTTAAAAGATGAGAGTTGTTGCTACCTTGTTTGGCGTTCAACAATAAGGGGATAGAGCAACGTCGATCTGGCGCTGCTCAGTGGCTGCCGGGCTCACGATCAATTGGGCAAAAAGAATTTCCGTTTCGGTTTAATAAAATTTGGAGTGGACTATTAGGCTATTATTATTATCTTTTGAGCACATCGACGTTCTGGTCCCCGCCTCTCCTTCTGTGGTTTTTAAGACATTTGCAATGTATAGGCCGCCCCCCCCCCTCGTCTACAAACAAACTGATGTATGACAGCTTTGTGGCAGATTTTCTGACACTGTTAGAATTCGTAACCGTTGATCAGCATCACCTTGTGCTCAATGGGAGATTTCACATCCATGTTGACGACGAAACTGACAGAGATGCTAGGAAGTTCTTTGATATCTTAGACACGTTTGCTCTTCGGCAGCATGTAAAAGGAGCAACTCATCAAGCCGGTCATTCCTTAGATCTCTTGATTTCCAGAGAGGTTGATCATCCTATTGTGGCCATGGACATCGTATCAGGACTTCCTTCCGATCACTCAGCAGTCCTGACTGAGCTCAATTTTTTAAGTCCAGCAACTTCTAATAATAATCTCCCCGTCTATGTCCGTGAATCCCCAACTATTGACGCTTTTAAACGTAGACGTAAGACCTATCTATTCAACACGAAGTGATTCCCCATCATCATACCGTCTTTATAACCAAATGTCCTGTCTCCTTGTAATTTATTCATTATACAATGTACATAAGTATTGCAGTTTCATTAATGTTACTTCATTACAGTATTTTCATTTTCATTTTTCATTATCATGTTATTGTTATACATTGTTAGTTAAGTAATTCGTACAATTAAGCGGAATGTTCATTTCGCGTTTCTTTTTTTATCCTAATTACATATTCAGTTTAACCGTAATTTCAATTTAATTTGTTTTGTAAAGCGTTAATAAACTGTTTCTGTATACCAGCGCTTTATAAATCTTAGATATTATTATTACTATTAAGTTACATTTTATCTTATATTTCATTTGCTGATGACACCACTTTGTTTATATCTGGTAAAGACCCCGTAAAAGTAAATACTTTATTTCATTTCCCTCATTGCTCAAAATACATAAGTGGTTCCTTGGCAATAAATTATTGATTTATTTAGAAAAAAACAAACTAAGTAATTTTCAAAACGAGAAATGAATATGTAAATGAAGTTGCTATTAAGATTTGCATAAATAGTATATAGGCCTAAATTAGGCAAGTACACCAAGTAACCTTTTGAGGTTTCATTATTGATGAAAACTTAACTTGAAAGGACAACATCAATTATATTTCTAACAAAGGTTTTAAACAGACTTAAATTTATTTGACCATTGTGCATACTTGTAAATTTGTTTGACGCTATGATTTCAATTATTGTATAATTGTATGGGGCAATTGTGCCTCGTATTTGCTTCAAAAGTTATTTCTATTGCCAAAAAAAGAACCGTCAGGGTTATAACAAACTCATATTATAGAGCTCATACAGGTACATTATTGTTTAACTTGAATTTTGTAAAACGTTATAATCTAAAGTATATACGTATTGGAGCTTTAATGTTCTTTTACATGTACAATATAACTACAATATAACTACTTTGCCTGATTGTTGGAATGATTATTTTATTTTAAAAAACAGATATAAATCAATATAGTACTAGAAATTCAAACAAACTCTATATTCCCTAATTTCGCTATAATTTGTCAAGAACTATTATTAGATATAAGGGATCCGTTAAGTTGAACAACGAGATTATATCAAGGGATGTCTAACATTATCTACTTTTAAGCGTCAACTTAAATAAAAACAAATATCGAGTTATAATATGTTTGTAAAACTTTATTTAAAAGTACTATGTCCCTTTTGCAGCCAACCTCAAATCCTGTAGAACTTTGCCGGAATTAAGAATATGTCATGTATGTCCTATTTGTGAAATTTAAACGTTAGCAGTGTCCTCATATTCAAATTATGCAAGGAAACACGTTTACTTGCTAGACTTCACTGTCAGATACTATTGAGTGACTGACTGGTTTTTTCTTCTTTGGTAATAACATACATGAAAAGAGTTGTAAAGGGTACATGAAATTGTGTCTACATCAATAACACATTTCTTGTGATGGCCAAGATTAAACTGATTGAATCGTTGCGCAGCATAAAACGTATGACCATTCGGTACAATTGTCTGAAAATCAAGACTATTACTTTTGGGCTCTATGGCCCTTAAGTCAATTTGACAACTAATAGTCGTTATTCTCCCACATGAAGACATTTTCAAGCCCCACCTTTTTTAGGGAAGTTCTAAATTAGTATTATCTTTCAAATGCAGTTAGAATTTAAGTTTTTCTTTTTTTTTGGCCTGCAAAAGGGGCATAGTACCTTCAATGCTGCTTGTCCTATGTACATATGTATGTTTGTCCCAGCTAATGTAATGTTTTTATTGTCAATATTTGCTGTATATTAGATTATACTAATGGGTTTGTATAAAAAAAAAAGGACTGGCCTAGATAGGTCAATGGCTTTTTCTGGTCCATCACATATGTAATCTACCCATTAATTACAAACATATATATATATATATATATATATATTTAGTGGTACTGTTCGTGTTGGAATTGTTCTTATATTATCACATGGTGTATACATATATTGCCTTATATATTATTGTATTTCATTGTTACTTTTTACTTTTTCAGCCATTATCGATCCACTGCATGATGAAGGCCTCAGCATGCTGTCTCCAAATGGCTCTGTTTCATTGGTATATTGTTGTAAAATTTGTATTGGTTGTAAAATAAACTGAACTTGAATTCGACAGTTTAACAAATATTTGTATTTTGAGTAGTCAATTTTATTTATGATATAAATGTAAATTACCTTGAATATATGTTTGCTTATTTTTTGAAAGTGATAATCAATAAACTCCTTGTGGAGGGAAAAAGGTATGAACAAAAAAATGTTTAAAAAACAGTAAAAATAAATTGATAACAAAAAAGTAAAATGACCTACATTATATTTTTGTAATGCAATATTTTTATTCAAAGCCGTATAATACAACGAGTCGCGAATATGAAACCTTTACACAGATTAAAAATGCAACATTTTCGACAACCATCACGTGACAAAACAATGTACACATATTCTCTCAGTTTAGGTAAAGAAAATCTATAACATTGACAGTAACTCTTCAAACGAATGAGCAGTGATTATATCGGTAGAGTTTGATACTGCAAAATGCCTTTCACTAAAACTAAGATCTTTCTTTTTCTCACCATCACATTTGGCGACGTAAATTAGGAAAACATAGTTCATTCTCATTCCGTCTAAATGCCTTATAAAAACCCGTCTTTGTAAGACGCCAGGTACCACAATACTTATAAAACTGATAAATCATTCTTTTTCTTCAAATTTGTGGATAAATTATTTGTTTACAGCTGAAACATTGATATCATGCCAATAGTGTAAACTATTTAGGGAGTCAACTTCTATTGTAAGGAAAACTGAAAGTCATTAACTCATAGCATGCCACGAGGCTGCATGCACGCTACCTATTGAGTGCCATGTGCGTGCGTGCACACTTACGTAGTAGCAGTTATTGTTCATGCTCATTGGGCTGTGCTGTGTGTTTTGCACTCGCCATTCATAGAACCATCGCGTTAATCAGATTATCTCCAAAACAACCTGGCACAATGGGGATTAGCCCTGTGGCACGATAAGAGTTAAGTAATTGTTCATGTACGTCGTGCTGCTCTTGTCTGTGTTTGAAGTGTCACAGCATGTTTGCCATTCGATACATGTAAATAATAGTTTTCCAAACAGACAAAATGCTGTTTCATAGATTAGTATTGTCTCCAGCCGGACTCTTCATTGTATGTATATTGACACAATAAGTCAAGAATATTAACATGACATATAATTTCGGTTTAAAGAACGTAAACAACGGCGACATCTGAGTAAAAAAATGTCAAAATGCAGAGCAAAACTTAAAAGAACTAAATGGACGCTAATATGAATGTGTAGAAATAGCTATCATCTTGTTTTAAAATGATCTTAATTATATATTTTGAATTAATACATTAAATTGTTAAGCTAAAGTTTGAAGACAGAAAATATTCTTAACAATATAAACTAAAACTACGACAAACACTACAACAAAACATATTCAAATACATAAATAACGTTGTATGAATTGTTGTTACAATATGTTCTTTGATTTAGCCCATTTCTTATATCGTCCATTCAATTTATCATAATCATGTGATTGCATAAGACTACCGTTTGTGCATTCGAATTCATTTTAAAGCATACAATTTAGCATGGTGTGCATTTTTGTCCGCTTGATTTGGATGATCCTTTAGTTCTTCACACAAGGTATTTATAGATGTTATGACACTCAACAGCTTTGAAATTTAACAGGAATTAGGGAGAAAATGCTCGGGGAGGTTACATCGTGCTATTACCCTCGGCACGCATCGGGCAATAGCCAGGGGCGGCCGAGCGACTTCCAAAGTTGGGGGGGGGGGGGGGGGGAGGCACCAACAAAAAAGGGCACTTTCTGGAAAAAAAGGGGCACCGAAGCGAAAATATACAATTTGTTAGACATTGGTATATACCCCTACATTGTGATTACATTATCAGGGATGATGTCAACATTTGTTTCTCTTCATACATATATATCGCTTAAGCATCATACTTTACAGTTGGTCGTGATGTCTGAATATGCATTTACGAGCGAGCGAAGCGAGCGAGAACAATTTTAAAGATATGTGAGGTCGCAGTGCGAAAAATTACATCTTATAAAGAGGACACAAGCCAATCGTGATGGGGTTATAAGCACATTCATATAACGGAAGACTGGAAAGACCTTTGATAAGTAACATAATTATATCATCTTTAAATGC